GTACGCGGGCCTCTGACTGTTGTGGCCTCTCCCGTTGCGGAGCACAGGCTCCAGACGCGCAGGCTCAGCAGCCATGGCTCACGGACCTAGCCGCTCCATGACATGTGGGATCTTCCTGGACCAGGGCACGAACCCGTGTGCCCTGCATCGGCAGGCAGACTCTCAACCACTCCGCCACCAGGGAAGCCCTGCATCAGGAAATTTTTGCCAACCAATTTCTATAAGCAAACAGTTTTCCAATCTGGGTAAACAACTCACTTATCAGGACGATTGTTTTCTCTTCATAAAACTCATCTGCAGAATGTTGCTTTGCTATGACCACCAATCCTAAAATATAGTGTCATGAACTTGACCTAGTCCCAACCAGTTTCCTACCTTGAAAGACCTGGCATAAACCTTGTGAGCCCAGAATCCCAAACCCTACAAATACTCTTCCCTAATTTCCCCACTTAGAGACACTACCAAGACTGTAAGCTGTGCTTGATCAAGTTTTTCCTGGCAGTCTTTGTAAGGAGGTTGACAATATGAATACATCACAATTTATGTACCCATTCTTATGTTGGTGGCCATTTGGGTGTTTCCAGTTTGAGACTATGATGAATAATGCTGTTATGAATATTAGTGTATTTTGATGCACATATGTATACTGTTGGGATTGGAATTGCTGAGTCATCAGTGGGTGTATGTTCAATTTTATTACATTTAACAGTTTCCAAAGTGATTACACTAATTTATACTCTCACCAGCAGTATATACACATTCATACCAAAACTTAATATTGTCTGTCTTTTTAATTTTAGTCATTTTGGCGGGTGTGTAGTGGTACTCCCCCAACAATCTTTCTTCTCGCTCTCAAATGCCTGACAGAGGTCATTACACATGCTGGGTTCCCTTTTCAGATTTCCCGAAAGGCTAGAGATGCTGAACAGTCCCTGGGGTTCAGGCTATGGTTGTGAAGCGTTGGCTCTGGGTGCCATAGCCTTACTTCTATGTACAACCATATGCAGGCTGTGTGTAAGATTAACTGTGTTTATTATACTGCAAGGAGCACAAGGTAAGCATACGTAGGCATCAAAACTTAGAACGGTTGTCTGTCTTATGTCCATGTTTACTTTACACAACACCATCTGCTGAGATGTTATGGCAACACACGGAGTGGTCAATCCACAGACATTAAGCCCTGAATGGAATTTAAAGTGTGTACTTCTCTGAACCACAAAAAAATATGTCCAAGGTACTTTTTTATCTGTGTTGGGTTTTGTTGTGATTTTTTTTAAGTTTAGTCAAGCACTGGAGGAAGTATTTGACCTAATTATTTCATCTTCTATAGTTATGTATGTTTGTCTTAATATTTTTACCCATCTGTTCAATTGAAATAACCAACAGCTCCTACTTTTAACCTACCGAGATCCCCTTTCATGCGGGAATCTCAAATTGTTTCATCAACTATTATTCATTACTTGCCTTTTCAACCCTAAATTTAACTAACATTTATCAAATGCCTATTACATGTCAGACACTGTTACACAATACTTGCACACTGCTGCCAGATAATCGAGCTAACAATTACAAGCACATAATGAAGTTACAGTTGCAATGAGTATTCCAGCCACCGTGGAGTGGGAGATCCTTACTCATGTATGTATTTATTTCTATTTCATATTACTAATCTCTAGGGTACAGTTACAGATTTCTATAGATTTTCTATACACAATGGGATTTTGTTGCCTATATTTGTGTCTCCCATCTAGAATTTAACTATTAAAATAACATTATTTTTCGGAAGGGTGGGGAGGCATGCAAGTGATTAAATTAGGAACTATTTGGCAAAAATTGATGGAGAAGATACACATTTGTTGTTTATTCTCCAACATCTTCATTAACGTTTACATGCACACAAAGCCATTCATATTATTGTTTTTCTTAAAGAAAATTCAAATAATAAGGGAAGAGAGATGAAAACCTAGGCTTATCTGGCATATAAGTGTAATATTTGTTTAGAGGACATGCCTTGATTAACTTAGAGCCCCCTCAAACCCTGAAAGCTTTGAAAGCCTGGTGACTAGACTGATGCTAGGGAATATGTGACTTTCTTTTTCTTAGGAAAAACAAGATCTCAAACATCTCCTGGACATGGAAAATGCTTAGAAAACATTTGATGCTTTACGTGCAAATATTGAAAATGCGAGTGCTTTCAGTGACCTGGGGGGAGATGCGGTGCCTAGATGGGGCCGGGAGCTGTGTCTCTGGTGATGGCCGCTTGTTGTGGGACAAGCCCATCGTGCAACTGGGTCCAGAAAGGGCTGATTTAGGAATGGTTAAAATCAGGAAATGATGCTCACATTTTCCTTTAAAAAATATTGAAAACTCATTTTAGGTATAGAAATGTGACCTTTCTGACGCCTCAGCTATTCTGTACCCATGAAGCATTTTTCCTCAATCCTTCCCTACATCAGTCAGAAGTTAAGATGAAGCACCACGGTTAGAGGCAGCAACAGAACCCTTCAGCTCATTCTCACCAGAATGTGAAACCTCAGAAGCACTTGATATTTCTCCCATCAACCATTACTGAGAAATATTTAGGGAGGGGACAGATAAATTAGTAGTATGGGATTAACATATACACACTACTATATGTAAAACAGATAAGCAACAAGGACCTACTGTATAGCACAGGGAGCTATACTCAATATTTTGTAATAACCTATAAGGGAAAAGAATCTGAAAAAAAAATGTATGTATAACTGAATCAGTGTGCTGTACACCTGAAACTAACACAATATAGTAAATCAACTATACTCCAATAAATAAATACATAAGAAATATTTATTGTGTTCCTGGAGTTGTTCTAGATGCTAAAAACTCCCATGAGTTCCTGGTATAACTGAGAATTGTCATGTTAGAAAGAGATGAGTAGGGACTTCCCTGGTGGTCCAGTTGTTAAGACTCTGTGCTTCCACTGCAGGGGGTGCAGGTTCAATCCCTGGTCAGGGAACTAACATCCCAGATTATAAGAATGAAATTAGAGGTGACTGCCTCCCTGAGTCGGCCCGTGCGTCTCTCTACATGTACCCCTTTTCTTCCTAATAAGCACTTGATTTAAAAAAAGAAAAAAAAAAAAAAAGAACGAAATTAGAACACTCCCTAACACCATACACAAAAATAAACTCACAGTGGATTAAAGACCTAAATGTAAGGCCAGATACTATAAAACTCTTAGAGGAAAACATAGGCAGAACACTCTATGACATAAATCGCAGCAATATCTTTTCTGACCCACCTCCTAAAGTAATGAAAATAGAAACAAAAATAAACAAATGGGACCTAATTAAACTCAAATGCTTTTACCCAGCAAAGGAAACCATAAACAAAATGAAAAGACAACCGACAGAATGGGAGAAAATATTTGCAAACAAAGTGACTGACAAGGGATTAATTTCCAAACTGTACAAACAGCTCATGCAGCTCAATAACAAAAAAACAAACAACCCAATCAAAAAATGGGCAGAAGATATAAATAAACATTTCTTCAAAGAAGAAATACAAATGGCCAAAAAGCACATGAAAAGATGCTCAACATTACTAATTATTAGAGAAATGCAAATCAAAACTACAATGAGGGGGGCTTCCCTGGTGGCGCAGTGGTTGGGAGTCCGCCTGCCAATGCAGGGGACGCGGGTTCGTGCCCCGGTCCGGGAGGATCCCACATGCCGCGGAGCGGCTGGGCCCGTGAGCCATGTCTGCTGAGCCTGCGCGTCCGGAGCCTGTGCTCCGCAACGGGAGGGGCCACAACAGTGAGAGGCCCGCATACCACACACAAAAAAAAACAACTAAAAATAGAACTACCATATGACCCAGCAATCTCACTACTGGGCATATACCCTGAGAAAACCATAATTCAAAAAGACATATGTACCAGTGTTCATTGCGGCACTATTTACCATAGCCAGGACATGGAAGCAACCCAAATGTCCATCGACAGAGGAATGAATAAAGAAGATGTGGTACCTATATACAATGGGATACTAGCCGTGAAAAAGAATGAAATAATGCCATTTGCAGCAACATGGATGGACCTAGATATTGTCATACTGAGTGAAGTAAGTCAGAGAAGGACAAATATCGTATGATGTTGCTTACATGTGGAATCTAAAAAAATGGTACAAATGAACTTATTTACAAAACAAATAGAGTTACAGATGTAGAAAACAATCTTATGGTTACCAGTGGGGGAAGAGGGGAGGGATAAATTGGGAATTGGGACTGACATATACCCACCATTATATATAAAATAGATAACTAATAAGGACCTACTGTATAGCACAAGGAACTCTACTCATTACTTCGTAATGACCTATATGGGAAAAGAATCTAAAAAAGACTGGGTATGTGTATAACCGATTCACTTTGCTGTACAGCAGACACTAACACAACATTGTAAGTGAACTATATACTCCAATAAAAATTTTAGAAAAGAAAAAAAAAAGGGATGGGTACTACTTATTCATGTAAGTATCTTGTGTTCACAAATTGTACTGGAAAAAGCAATTG